TAACAAGCAATTTCTACTTGTCACTGTTCTTTACTGCTTTCTGCTGATTATTTCATAGCAACCTCTGAGATACATATCATTTTTTATTCACATTTTACGGATTAGGAAACTGACAAGCAGAGGGAGTTTTGTAACTTGTCCAAACTTATTCAGCCGATTTGAGGCAGAGTCAGAATTGGAACTCAGTTCATCTGTCTCTGAAGTCCCAAATTTTATCCAATACACTATGATCCTATTTTCACAAGATAAAGAAATATAAATGTACATTAAAAACTAGAGATGTGTGTTTACTTGCTTAAAATAATATAATATTGTAAAAGTGTTTTTAAACCATTTTTATAAATTTTACACAATTCTTAAAATTAACATATATTACTTTTGGAAGATAGCTTATATTTTAGAGAGAGGAGTTGGTAAATGCTGGGTACACCAACGTTTTCTGCCATTTCCAAGGTTCAGAGCTGGGTGTTGGGTGGGATGGATGGCCTTGGAAGAGAGGAGGGGTGGGATATAAGTGGTGAGGGTCTAGGGTAATGAATTCAATACCATCTCCACTGGCTGGTGGTTGACTTTGTGTCCGGGCAAATAATAACCTTGTGGGCATTATAATTTCCCATGTTGTTTGCCTCTCATGCCATTGGAAGCAGGCCTGCTTCCAAGTAGGGATATGAATGTGAATCAGTACCAAGTAAAGAGTATTTATTTTCCTCTTACCCAGCCTCATGTCTGTCCTCTTCATTTTTATTGGAGAGTCATTTTGTCTGTGCATCAGCTGAGACCAACTGTTGTATTGTGATGTCACATTAAAGTATTTCCCCCTTTGCATGGAAAGAAAAGTGTCTGATAAGCAGCATGCTTTATACCCAGACGTTCTCTACTTTTTCACATGAGGGTCAAGCTGGGGGGAATCAGCAGGACTCTTCAGTTTGGATTTTGCTCTTAAATATGTATCATCCCTCTCTAAACCAATTGATGGATTTGTTCATGCATATTGATTCTGATTAACTTTTCTATTGTATCAGTTGGTAACTGGTCACATCAAGGAAATTTATAGCAAAGCATAATAATGATAATTCTTTAAAGAGAGTTCAAGATGAGAAAACGATTTTGTTCCCTGTTCCACATAACCAACTTCTGTTATACACTGATTTAAAAAAAATCCCGTCTTTTAAAAAATGAATGTAATATCTTTTTGACTAAAAAATTAGTTTATTCACCCAACTTTTTAAAAGTTACTCATATTTACGATGCTAAAGCATATTTAAGAAGATTTAAAATTCTTTTAAGTAGGAAAAAAAAATTGAATAGTTTAAAGATGATTTCAGGTCAGATTAAAATCTAAACCAGACTATCTTCTCTGTAACTTGTCCTCTGGCTCCAGAATCCTGAATCATTACTCAGAAACAGACTTCCTGTACCTTTGTATTCAATGGCTCATTTAACCAGGAATTAACTGTTAGCATATGCTTGATAAAAGCTTTCTGATAGATATATTGTTCATGAAAATTCAGAAAGGGACATGCAAATGCCCATTTCCCTGATTGTTGAAGTCAGATTTCTAATTAGATAAAATCTGTATTACTGTTCTGCAGAGGTGCCTTCCCCAAATGATTGCCTAATATCTGTGCTCCTCACCTGTGAATAGGCGAGCATGCAAAAATGTGTGATAAGTCAATCTGAAAAATTTTCTTGTAACAGGTTAAAGACATTGTCTATTATTTTATTCAGTGACCCTTATCTTGGAGTGAACCTAAATCATCCCAGATGTCAACTCAAGAAGACTCTCCAAATGAACTTAGAGACCTCCTTTTGTCACAAATCGAAAACTGTATCATTCCTTTTTGCCTTGATCAACAGAGACCTAAAACTTAAGCTTAGGTCTTAATTTAAGTGACTGTCTCATACCTAAGAGATGAAAGTATATATAGATTCTTGGCTCTAAATTTTCTTTTGGCTGTGTTTTAGCTGCCCTACTATTTAATAGAGGTTTTATAATCATAAACTGCCAGAGATGATTTTCTATGTTCTTTTTTTTTTAAAAAAAGATTTTATTTATTTATTTGTCACAGAGAGAGAGCATAAGCAGGGGGAGCTGCAGGCAGAGGGAGAAGCAGGCTCCCTGTTGAGCAAGGAGCCCGATGCAGTACTCGATCCCAGGACCCTGGGACCATGACCTGAGCAAAAGGCAGATGCTTAACCGACTGAGCCACCCAGGCGTCCCGATTTTCTGTGTTCTAGGTATAAATGATAAACATAATTCTCTTGACAGGAAAAATATGGTGAACTTCTCTTTTCTGTTATATACATGCTGCCATACGGCAGTTTGGCAAGTTGAGATGTTACAGAACTTTTTATCCTGTATTCTTGTGTTGGAAGTTCAGTTATATAAAGACTGTGAAAAATGAAAATCTTTTAAAAATAGTCCCTTTGATTATTATTTCGGTGTTTAATTATAATACTAAATACTGAAATACATTGACCTGCTCTTAACTTAAACGTATCCCAATACAAAGTAGGATATTTCCTCTTTCCATTCCTTTTTCCCTTTTCCCAAAAGATACTCCTTATAGCAGACTGACTGAGAAATTGGAATCAACCAAATGTTCATCAAAAGAAGAATTAATGGGCGCCTGGGTGGCTCAGTTGGTTAAGCGACTGCCTTTGGCTCAGGTCATGATCCTGGAGTCCCGGGATCGAGTCCCGCATCGGGCTCCCTGCTCGGCAGGGAGGCTGCTTCTCCCTCTGACCCTCCCCCCCTCATGTGCTCTCTCTCAAATAAATAAATAAAATCTTTAAAAGAAAAAAAGAATTAATAAATTGATAAGTTCATATTCTGAATATTCTGTAGCAGTTTAAAGAAAAGCAGATCTGTATACTACATACATATTATCAAATCACATTGATAGATACAAAGTGAGGTTGCAAAATACAGTTTCACACAGGCAAAAAATTTAAATTACTTTTTTCAAGGATTTATTGATGAATATAAATTCTCAATACAGATTTAGGAAGAATACATGCCAAATGCCTATCTAATTTCTATGCAGGGAAGGAATTGTGATATTTGTGGAAGTTCAAATGGACTTTTGTTTTTTTTTTTTTTCTGTAATTTTTCAAACTTTTTACAAATGTGTAAACTTGCAATTGACAAGTTTTAAGAAAATATTATATGAAAGTACCCAACATGAATAGCCTATGCTATATCTTTAGCTTTAATAACTGATTTAATGTCCCTGGGTGGATTCTGTGTTTTGCTGACACAATATTGGGACATTGAAAAAGAGGAAAAGATCATTTACAAAAAATCAAAAACTAAAAAAAAAAAAAAAAAATTATTATAAAATATATTTTTTTCTACTGATACCTCATGTTCTTCTGTTGACCTTTCCTAACCTTAAGAAATCATGGAAATTTTAAGATAACAGTACAATGACTGTGGGTTGAGGCACAGCTAAGCTGGACTGAAGTCAGGTTGGCAAATTGTCATGCTGTTTTTGTATTTATTTCTTTCAACTTTAACACCCACAATTTATTAAGTGAGACTGTGGATAAAAGAGGAAGCTCAGAATCCTGTTTGGACACCGTTTAGGAAGGAAACCAGGTCTTTATGGGGCACCCCCTTCCTCTTAGCCACTGGCCAGGAAAACCATCTTTCTGTTTAAAACCTATTCAATCTGAGAGGTGGGGTGACTTTGGGAAGGAAGGTGACCTCTCCCTTGTAAAGTGGAATGGCTCTGTTTCCCCCATGACTGATGCAACTCATTTCCACCACTGTTTATAAGAACACTTGTGCTGAATGCTTGTAATGACAGAAATAGTCAGTTAAAATATGGCTCAAATTTCATGCCCTCAAATTTCCTACGTTATTTCAAATCTTTGATCATTATAATCTCAAGTGGAGCTTTTGGTTAGTTCCAAGTTCTGCTGATGTCCTTTGGGAGTTAACAGGGATTCTTCTTATAAGCCAGAAGTTTAATCAAGGCATAGACTGTAATCATAAAAGCATGGCTGCTCTCGAATCTGGTAAGAGAAGGCCTTGATGGGACCCACATCATTTCCAAAATGGTACAGGAGCTATTTTTCTGGGATGCCTTACATGTGGGGTCCACTGGCAGATTAGGGTGTGGAAGTGATGTGACCTACTGGCTGAGAGAGGACATCAGAGGAACTTGCTTATTTTGAAAACTTCTCAGCGTTTTGTGCATTGTAAATACCTTTGGATTTTGACCTCAGCTTCAGCTACGCTCATGGATTTAATTTGCATTGCTCCATGGCTGTGAAACACTGACCATCTTAGTAAAATCAGTTCCTTTATTCATTTCTTAAAAAAATATTTTATGATCTCTTTATTTTGGGGTAATTTTAGATTTACAGGAAAGTTACTAGGATAATCTAGAGTTCCTAGATACCCCTCACCTTGTTTCCCCTAATGTTAACTCTTCACATTGCCATGGTACATTTACAAAACCAAAAAAAGAAAACAGACATTGTGCATTACTGTTCGCTAAACTTTGGTCTTTATTTGGATATTACCAGTTTTTCCATTAATGTCCTTTTTCTGTTCTGGGATCCAGCCCAGGGTACCACATCGTATTTAATCATCTTATCTCCTTCTGTCTTCTGAATTGTGACAGCTTCCGAGTCTTTCCTTTTTCCCATGACCTTGGCAGTCTTGAGAAGTACTGGCCAGGAATTTTGTAGAATATTTATCATTTTAATAAATGAAAATGTATAACTTCTGGGATTTTTGAAGGAAAGCCCATGTAGACCTGCTAATAATTTGTACCACTGATTTTCCATTAATAACCGTTTCAGCCTGTTGGTTGTTACTTTATCTTCTTATCAGTTATAACAGTATTCTAGAATTTAAAGTTGATGTATGATGGGTTTAATATTTGCTGAATAGCTGCTTTATCTGTGTGTGTATGGTATGGTTTCAACTTTGCCAGTTCAGTTTAAACCTCCTAGAAAGTTGATATTTTATCTATTGTTTATGACAGATTCGAGATGGACAACCAAATTGCTACGTGTTGAAGAATAAAGATTTAGAACAAGCTTTTAAAGGAGCTATTTACTTGGAGATGGACCTCATATATAATCCGGTAAGTCTAGCTGGGCCAGCCATACCTCCCAGGTTCTCTGTACCTAAAGTAAAAGATGACCAGCCTGGCAATACTCAAATCTCAAATACCTGTAAAATGTTTCACACATATTGCAGCTAGAGAGAGAGAACAGGGTTTTCAACCTCAACTATAAAATCTGTGAGGGACAATTCAGTTTTCAACTGGTATTAATCCCCTTGAGCCAGTAGAAATGACGGTGTTTAATTCCCAGTACATCTAAATGTCAAGGAAAAAAAAATAAAAATAAAAAAATAAAAGGAGAAATTAGTTTGTTAGCTTTATTTCCGATAATCTTCTCGAAGGCCACAGTTGGTGTCAGAGGTATTTTCAAGCCCCTGACATGTAATTTAGTTGTTACAAAAGATGTCCTGCTATCCAACACTATGAAGAGAAGTAGTTACTCATCTGGAAACTACAGTTAAAGGAGGAATTTTTAAAACCTGTCTTCAACCTTCAGTTTAATATAAAATACGTAAACACTCATTTGCCAATCTTTAGCTATGGGCATAAAATCTGTTTTTTATACCATGGATTTATTATGTTTAGTTTTATAACCTATTCCTTGCATAAATATACTCATAACATCTATAATAATACCTAGTTTCAGGTTTTTTTTAAAGTGGAGATCTACTTTAAAGATACACAACAATCTGAATATAGAATTTTCCAGACTGTTTTTTTTTCCATAAAATCATTACTTCAATATCTTTTTAGGGACTGACCTTTATCAAGGCTTTCTAGAGCAACGCAAATTTCAAGTCTTCTGGTCCATGCTTGGATTTCAATGATTTGTATGATACTTGATTAAAATATGGAATTATAATAATGGGCAAAACCATCAGAAACAAGATTGGGAGTTAGCAACAGTTGATTCTCGGTAGGCATGAGATTTGATTGTTGTGAGCAGAGATTCCTTAGCATGCAGAGGAGTGGGCTACTTAGCCGTGACCATGCATATGCTATGGTGTCAGCAGCAGGTTCCAGAAAGGAAAAGGAGAGCGCAGGTTAATCCAGTCAGCGGTATAAATGAATGTAGGGTAATGGAGCTTTTACAGTAATTCTAAGAATGGCTGCCATTTAGTGGCCACCTACAATGGGCCGGGCTCTGACATTATTGCATTTAATCCTCACAATAAACCTGGTAAATAGGTATCATTAATGCCATTTTATGATGAGCAAATGGAGTTAGAGAACGGATTTACTAATAAATGAGTGAGTCAGCATACAGATCCACATCTTTCTGATTCTGCAATGATTCCTATGCTACCCTGCTTCTTGTTTAGTTATTTAAGAAATTATTCATAAAGTCGATGGCAGGGATATTTTTATTTTTTTTTTAATTTTTTTTATTCTTATGTTAATCCCCATACATTACATCATTAGTTTTAGATGTAGTGTTCCATGATTCATTGTTTGTGCATAACACCCAGTGCTCCATGCAGAATGTGCCCTCCTCAATACCCATCACCAGGCTAACCCATCCTCCCACCCCCCCTCCCCTCTAGAACCCTCAGTTTGTTTTTCAGAGTCCATCATCTCTCATGGTTCGTCTACCCCTCCGATTTCCCCCCCTTCATTCTTCCCCTCCTGCTACCTTCTTCTTCTTTTTTTTTTTCTTAACATATATTGCATTATTTGTTTCAGAGGTACAGATCTGAGATTCAACAGTCTTACACAATTCACAGCGCTTACCAGAGCACATACCCTCCCCAGTGTCTATTACCCAGTCACCCCCTCCCTCCCACCCCACCCCCCACTCCAGCTTATATTTTTAGTCTCCAGTCTGGAGGTGGTGGTGTTACTTCCCTCGTTCTTCCCATTGAGTTCGCTTTCCCTTCAAGGAAGTCCTCTGTGCATCTTGTACCACAGATGACCCTTCATTTCCTGTTTTCTTCGAGCAAGCACTTGTATATAGTCTATGCACACAGGTAAAACCTGAGTTTTAGGGAAGGCTTAACCAAGAAAATATGTCAGTTGTTTCATTTTCCAGTTGTCCATCCTATGGAGTGGAGAGGGACTTGAATTTTTATTCTTTGAGCTTTTCCTCAGTATGGTGATTGGGACAAGCCACTAAATCTCTCTCAGCCTCAATTTATTCCCCATAAAATGGGTCTCAAATAACTCATCTACTTATTTTTCCATAGAATTGAGAGGAAATGAGATTCTCTGTGGAAAGATGTTTTTATAAGCAGGAAACAGATTTTCACAGACAAGGTATTATTGGTGAAAATATTGTTCAAAACCTTGATGGGAAGGAAGTTTTATTTCTTAGAAACTGGTTCGAGAGCCTCCTGAACTCAACCTCCTCAGTGCTTTAAAATACCTCCATTGATTGGCAAGGTGGATACAACACTCTTAGGGTCTCCTGGATCCAGTCTGACCTACCCAAGTGTGCTGGTGAAATGAGATACCCAGGAACACACGCAAAGCTCAGGGGTGTCCTCCATGTGTCCCCCCATCGCTCTGCTCCTGGCCAAAGGCCCTTGGCCCTAGGGTCAGAAGATACTCGTTTCCAGGTTCTTCCCAGTCATTAACAAGAAAAAGAGAAGAATGAAGTCCATTTAAATGTTGCCCCTCCCCCCTTTTAAACAATGATGTCTTTCTAGGTCAAAGCAAGTATTAGGACCTTTACTCCCAGAGAAAAGCGCTTTGTTGAAGATACCCGCAAGCTGTCCAAGAAGGTAGGTGGGTACAGTTAACAGGCTCTTTGGTACACTCAGCACTGGAAGTGCTTAATTGTCCTTACTTAGCATCTCTCCCCGCCTCCCTCTTCCCCTCCCTCCCTTCCCCTCCTCCTCCCCCCTTCTGTCCTTCCTCCCATCTTACTTCCTTTCTTCCTCCCATCACCCTTCTCCTCCCCCCACCACCTTTCTCCATCCCTGCCTCCTCCTCTTCCCTCTCCCTTTTTCTCTCTCTCTCTTTCCCCCTCTCCCTCCCTCCCTCTTCTTCCCTCTCCCTCCCTCTCTCTCTGTCTCCACCCCCACCCCGCCTTCTCCCAGCTTCTCCCCACCTCCACTCCTCCCTCCACCTCCCCCCATCTGTCCCAGAACAAGGACCAAAGTCAGCAGGATAAGAAGAAAAAGACTGAAAATGAAAACACAGATGTTGGATGAAGTAGAAGGTGTCAGCCCTCCATTCATCTCCTGAGTCATTCTGTCAAGGCACATTCCTAGTGTCAGCCTCTATAGATTCTCTGACTTGGCTCTCCCTGCTAGCCTCAATCAGTTAAGGCCCTTTCCGCCTCTGTCCTCACAAGGTCTCAGGGAGGTGCTATGCCCAGGGAGGCCTTAACTTCCTCAGCCCGGTGGATCTTAGGGGCATCTAGCCTCGAGGTTCCCCACACTGCTCCTACCACTATTGTCTAAATATTTGGGATGTGTTGGCATTTTACCTCATTCTGAGTTAACTGTCTCCCTCTGCCTATTTCCCTTAATTCCTCACTCATCAGTTTAACAGAAAGGGATGATCTGGGCCCAGTAGGGGAAGTTTTGCATTTTTTTTTAACATGACCTTTATGTTTCTTTTCAGAGTCCCTCCCTGTCTTATTCAGAAGCAGTCCAGGATTTCACTCTGTACCTATTGTCCCTCTTCAGTTGTGTAACAAAGAACAAAGTGTCCCCTTTTTAAAGTGTTTATTACTTCCACGACTTCCTGTGGGGTGAGCAGCTGTGGATGACACAAAGCAGTTAAATATAAATTCATCTCCTCATCCTTTTGTTTCCCATGAACTTCTGGGCACACTTGGGAAGGGCCTGGAATGTCTTCTGAAGGGAGCATCCCAATGTTTTGTTTTGGTCTGCCATAACATTGAGTGTAATATTTATTTGGTGTAATCTGAGTAAACGTCTTTTATTATTATTATTACTGCCTTGTGCCCTATTTATTCGAAAGTTAAAACCTGAGTTGAAGTAGGTGGGGTAATTGCTTTGCAAACAAGTTGAAATGAATCTGCCTACAACTGGGAAAAAAAGACGTTTGTCCTGCATGGGGTGGCTTTGGGCTCTGGAGCTCCAGGGGATTTGGAGTCTGTTAGGATCTTCCCTATGTGCCTTTCACCACGGTGTGTCTGCAGATTTTTACACAGTTGAAGCTTGTGCTTATGATGCAGGTACTTGAGATCACTTACTATGTGGCAGGCACTTTCCAAAGGCCCTCAATTTTCTTCACTGTCTACAGGGTGAATACTAAAATCAACCCCATTGTATAAGAAAAGAGAGGTTAGGAAACTGGTTGGAGGTTGCACAGCTAGGAGGTGGGAGAGCTGGGTTCTCCTCCCACAATTAAACTTTCCTGTAGACTTTGTCTTCTGGACTACATGAGCTAGAATACTTGGACATCTAGTTTCTGCAAAAATCCATCCATTTCCTTCTAAACTAAACAATGTAGACTCTCTCTTTCTCTTTCTCTTTTTCTTACACACACACACACACACACACACACTCACACACATACACTCTCACACACGCATACCGAATGCCCTGCTGCTATAGCTTTTACCAGCTCAGTTTTGTCCTGAATATTATTGAAACAGGCTATTCTCCATCAAAAGAGCTACAAAGTACATTGTATTTTTTTCCTTCCATGGATGATGGTGTTTTAAAAAGAATTTTAGAAAAAGCATTAGGACTTTTCCTTTCTATTATTTTTTTTTAATTGGCAGCTATGCAAAATGTAATTTAAATGACTGAGCTGCCTGATCTAAAGAGACTATTTAAATCCAGTTCCTTGTTTTCCATTTTTTTTTTTATTAGATCTTATCAAGGGATATAGACCGTGTGAAAAGAATCACCATGGCAATGTGGAATACAATACAGTTCCTTAAAAGCTGCTTCCAGTGGGAATCCACGTTGAGAAGTGCTGTTGCATTCGTGGTAAGCCTTGATTTTATGTTCAAATTATTTGCTTCTGAGTCCCAAATCCAAATGCAGATGAGTTTTATTTTACTGACATGAAGCAGAGTAATACACATTCAACATAGCTGAAGTTCACACCTGTAAGGAAACTTTAAAATATAAATGGGAGATGAACCATGAGAGACTGTGGACTCTGAGAAACAAACTGAGGGTTCTAGAGGGGAGGGGGGTGGGAGGATGGGTTAGCCTGGTGATGCGTATTAAGAAGGGCATGTTCTGCATGGAGCACTGGGTGTTATGCACAAACAATGAATCATGGAACACTACATCTAAAACTAATGATGTAATGTATGGGGATTAACAACATAATAAGATAAAATAAAAAAAAAACACTTCTATTATTTAACTGAAAAAAAAATATAAATGGTATCCATTCATCTTTCTTACATATATTACAGCATAGATGAATATATAGATGTCTAAGACTGTACTTAGATCAGATTTTCCCTTGGAAATCCCTTAAATTACCCAAATCTTACTCATATACTATCACTCAGTAAGTTTAAGAGACCTAAGTTCTGTATTTTTGTAAATTTTTTTTTTCACTCAAAAATGTGTCTTTATACACGGTGGTTATTGTTATATTAACTGTGTCTGTATAGTCCCTCCATTGTGTCTATTTCTCTCCCTCTGTCCCAGTGAATGCCAGGACTTTTTGAGAAAATGATGGTTGAAAACTCACATGACGAAATTGCTCTAATTTATGTTTTAAGTAAATCTTCACAAACTTTGATATAAAAACATTGATTCATATCAAACCACTGTGTCACATGACAAGGTGACCCAACACCACGTAAGAGAGTGACCAATGTACATGAGATGCACTCTTCCTTCTCTCTGATAACGCTGGCCCATCCTTAGGAGCGAAATAAAATCACACAATCTCAGAAGAGCCGCAAGAGATCTCAGAGTCACCTAAGGTAACCGCTGAGGGTCCAGGAATCTTGTAGGGACTTGAAAGTTGGTGCCATGCCCTCACCTTATGGTTCTGGGCACCCTCCGCCATTTGTAAAAGGACTTGTTCTTGAAGAGATTGGTAGTGTCAGACGTGGAAGGAGAAACCAAATCTCTCAACTGCTAATCTTGTCCCTTTTTTTTTATCATGCTATTAATCTTTGTACTGGGCAAAGATCACAATAAGGCCTAATAGGATGTGTGAGTGGTTCTGAGTCATGATCTTCGGTAAATCATGAATCTTCTGTCTCTGTTTTTTTGTTTTTGTTTCTGTTTTTGTGTTTTAATTGTCAATGTTCTCTCCTACCTCACAGGCACATCCTCATTAATTTTTTTTTTTTTTTTTTAAATCAGCCTAAGATGTCAGCGGGTTCATGGTCACTCCCATCCTTACTCCTTATTACACAAACAAGTATATCAGCTCCACAAGAGGCTTTTTCTTTGCCATGGAGAACATTCTCTTCGGTTTCATTAATTTTAGATTTTCATTGCTTCAAGATGTAGAGGGCCTATGATGGCTGTGACCTGGACTTTTAATATACTTTTTCTTTGGTCTGGAATTGCTAAAAACAATTGGCCTTAATAAGAACATTAGTAAAAATGCTAGTAATCCATATCTGTCTTGTCTTGGCATTTATTCATCTGCTTCCTTTTCTTATAACATTTTCCGCTGGGGACCTCATGTGTTGCCTTCCTCTTCAGCCTCCCCACCTCCACTTCCCACCTGAATTCTCTTCAGAAACTTTCCACAGAATGTTCTCTTGTGATTCTGGGCAAAAGAGGAAAGTCAACACAATTGGTGGCTTCTTTCAGTCAGCACCCCAGCCAGCCCCTGTGAGGAGAAGAGGATTTCCTCTTTCTTGAGCTTAATTTCTGGCACCGTGATTTTTAGAAAAACAGAGCTCCATTGCACTGGCTTATGTAGGAGAATGACAGAAATGATTAATGGGCCGCTGGCCTGATCTGAAGAAAGATTAGAACAAATGAATAGAAATAGGTTGTCTACTAGAGGGGGCTTCTGAATGGGAAGGGAACTTTGACAGTGGGTCCTTGCATGCGTCCGTCCTGGGGGCACCATGCCAGGAAACGCGCTCCCAGGCTAGCAGATGCAGGCGGCCACTTCATCCTTTCAAGTCACTGTGGCCCCCCAAATGGAAGATAAAGATGGTGCTCTCCCTTGCTGGTTGTCCACAGTGTGATTTTTGCAAGGGTTTGTGAGCCTGGGACAGTCTCCACTGCGTGTGTGTATTTATTGGGGGACATTTCCCAGTGGACATCACTGAAAAAAATGCAGTCAATTTAGGAATGATACATGCATGAACCTTTTCTGTGAAGGTACTAGAATGAGGAGTGCTCCCTTAAAGGCATTTAGTTTTCAGTTTTAATTTGAAATGCCGTGTTCGAATGTTTATCTCATGTCTACTTTGACCAGCCTTGGCAGATCTCAGAGATACTACAGATAGAGAGAGAGGTGTTCTCCCCTCCCTAAGCCGATGAAGTGTCATCTTATTAGAGAATGTTTTTGTGACTACTATCATCATGGTCATTCCAAAACTCTTTTCTTGTTCCTAAAGCAAGAGCATATAAAGAAAAGGTACTTTCAGGATAAAATAAAAATATGTGTATTAGTCTCCCTTATTATATTTTAAGATTATGGGTATCCAAGACTTCATTTTTGGAGAGAGCATTTTGCTTTTATGCCTCTTGCCTACATACTGATGATGTTAGCCTCCTGTTGAATGTACAGATGGGTAATTTCACACTTTGGGGCCACCACTGGCTGTGGTACTATGTCCCTGACTCTGTGGGATCCCATTAAGGGTTGTCTTTCTGCAAAGCATTGGATCCTCAGGTGACCTGGGCCAGAGAAAGGAAGGGCTCCTGTGATGCCGAAGGCCCGCTTCTTCTCTTCCTTGCTCCGCTGTGGAGAATGCTGGGTTTGTCACTTGTACACCCTGATTCTCTCCTGGGATCTACCAAGGACAGGATGCTGTTACTGGCCCTTATTCATTGGTGTGACAATTTGTTCATGCTTCATTCACTTACCTTGGCGTTACGGGCAGAAGAGTTTTGTGGTGGTCTGAAGCAAGGTCTCAGGCCAAGCTTTTACTAAATAATAGGACTGCATTTGAAGGCCTTTTTATATTCGAAAGTAGGATGAGTGGTATCTGAGGGTTCACTGCACAGGTGGGTAAAGAACCGTTTTTGGTGGGCCAGTTCCCAGTGGGGCTTTGCCTTCCCCTCGAGGTCCAGGAAGTGACTCTAGCACCACAAGCTAAGGGCAAAACTATAGGAATTTTTTTTCTTATGTTTTGTCAGATAACATAAAATAGCCGATTAACATCATGTCAGTGTCTCTGTTTTCAGAGGAGACAAAGCATGAACATTGTAGGATCGTGTTTGGTATATTCTGGCTGTTCAATTTAAGACTTTATGAAAGCAAAGCATACGTTTCTAAGGATTCCTATGGGTGTGTATATGAATATATCATAGCTTGTTGAAAGCAGTGTTCAAGACGAGTGGCCTATAAAGATAGAAGTCCACATGGTGTCTGGTCAGAAGTGGGTGGACAAACATGGGAAGATTTATCTTATTAGACTGTCCAGGCGTAAACCCTTCCACCCTGGGATTTATCCCCTTTCTACTTACCCAGGTGGCTGTATTCCTAACACTTGGAGAAGAAAGTTGTCATTAATCCACTGACACATGCTATGTGAATGTTGCCCACAACATTGAATTCATTGTTGTAAGAAATTAAATTTGGATTTTTTTTCTGAGTGGTCAAGCCATTCATGCGTCTGTAGGCTCAATTTCTGTTTTGTTGGCATGACTATGGAAAATCTTGCTCATTTTGTCTCTTGGGTCTTTCTCTTTCCTCCACGTTTTCTAGATATTTTACTCTGTTGCATTTTCTGAGCTTGACTTGTTATAAATTAAATATGTATATATTTTGTTTTTTCTGCTCAAAGAGTCCTATTCTCAACTTTTCCAAAGGAAAATGATGTCAGTTTAATGACAGAGGCACAGGGTAACTAAAAATGATGCCTAGAAGAAGCACATCTGGGTATTGCCCTGTGAATGGATTTGTAATTACACATGGTGTTTCATAGACCTGCACATGGTCATTTTCAGACACAGACTTTCACCTCTAGGTGTCTTTAATAGCTCACGTTTCAGTGCTTACTGTGTGTCGGGCACCGTCCGAAGCATCTTGCAAATGTTACCTCATCTAATTCTCACCAATACCTGCTGATGTAGGTATCAGTTATTACCTTCTTTGTACAGATGAGAAAAATGAACCCACAGAGGTTAAACAGAGTGTCAGAGCTCATATGCTTTTAAGAAGCACAGCTGGGATATTAACCCAGACCATCAGGCTTTAGAGTACATGTGTTTAACCATTGAGCTGTACTACCTCTCACTGATGTTCGGAATTGCAGTGATTGTGGTCCTGGTATTTAAATAGATGATAATGACTGTAGGGACAATGACATTAGTCATTTCAGATATGTATTTAGATGTAATGAATGGGAGTTAAGCCTTTTCCAAGATGCTTTGGGCGGGGGGGACCCTCATCATTTGGGTGGGAATAATTCTTAGTCATGGTCATTATATTCACAAGAGATGGAGCCAGAACTAAAGAAGCATAAGGTGGAAATGTCTGTACCATCTCTGGGGAACAGCCCAGACCCTGGGAATCACATGCGCATGACATCCTTGGAATCTAGCTTGGTGGTCTGGAAAATCTCAGTGGCTGGTTCCAGGCTGAGCCCCCAGTTGGAGACTGAGTTATTTTTACCCACTGTGCAGGGGAAACTCTTAGATGATGGAGAAGGGCTTTCAAAGGGAGCATGAATGCTGAAAACAAGTACATGAAAGCGTCATGGATGGAATCTACAGTTTTGCCAGATTCTTTTTGAGAATTCCAGGTTGTTCAAAATAAAGGATAAGAGTAGAGATGAGCACATTTATCTATCTATCTACATTAATGCATTCCTTCAAAC